CCTCCTGAATCTAGAGAGAGTAGGATCTCTGGGCCCATTTTAAAGATGTGGACATAGATCAGTCTCTGCCTAGAGCACAGAGGAATGTCTTCTCTTGAACTTGGATATTAGAACCCTAAGACATGCTGGGTGCCATGGCACATGCCTGTAATTCTGGCTACTCAGAAGGCTGAAGCAGAAGAAATGCAAGTTCAAGCCCAGCCTCAGCAATTTAGCAAGGCCCTGTCTCAACATTTAAAAACTAGTGAGGACTTGGGTGCAGCTCAGTGGTAGAGTACCCTGGGTTCAATACCTAGTACTTCAAAAAAACTTGGAAGGAAAGAACAGAGAGGGAGGGATGGAGAAACCAAGGGAGGTAGGAAGTAAGTAAATCTAAGGCACATGCTTTCTCCATTGCTGTCTCTGATTCTTGTCATTATTTTAGGGTTTCTTTTGTATTGAAGAGGGATGCAGGATTATAAGCATGACCTACTGGGGTGATGCTTCCTTATGAATTGGTTCAAATCCTGAAATGATACTTCCATGGTATCATGAGTATCTTCCACAGAAAGGCCAGTTCCAAGGATGGGTCTATTTTCTTTGATATTGGTTGGTTCATGCTGAGTAACAGATCATCCCACAATTCAGTGACTTAATAAATATCTGTTTCCCACTCATGAGTCAGCTTCATTTGGGTACACATAAGACTCCAGTCTTCTCTTTGGGTGCAGGTCTTTGCTACCTGTGTCCACATTCTTCTGGGGCCAGCAGCTTCCAGAGTGTGCTCTTCTCATGGAGGATCATGGGAAAGAAAGACTCAAACAAAGCAGAGAAAGAAAATCCTCTTGTGGCCTTTGCTAAATTCTGTCGGTTGACAATAAATGGGCTAGAGAAATAGACTTAGCTCACCATAGCTCACTGCAAGGTCAGAGGGCAGAGGGAAGGAATGAAGAACAGGAAATAATCAAATCTACTAGCCACTCAGGGAAAGATGAATCTTATGTTCTGTAGGTATTATAAGATTCTAGGGTGAATACTGGCCAACTATAGGCCTGAAAGCTAAGTCCAGCCACCACCTATTTTTATACATACAATGCTTATTAGAATGTTCCCTAACAGCTCATGTATTGAAAGCATGGTTCCCAATGCAGTATTTCCAATGTACCTGGGATTGCAGACATGTGCCATGGCACCCAGCATGTCTTAGGGTTCTGATATTCAGAGGTGAGGATTTGGAAACTGATTGAATCATGGGTGCTCTGAGCTCGTTAATGGATTATACCAAGGGATTCAGAGCCCAATAGACTTTTGGGAGGTGGTAGAAACTGTAGGTGATGGAACCTAGTTGTAAAGAGTAGGTCCTTGAGGTCATGCTCTTGGGGACTGTGTCTTGCCCTAGCTCCTTCCACTCTCTGGACTTCCTGGCTGCCATAGGTGAACAACTTTCCTCTGCCATGTCCGTCTAGCATGATGTTTATGCCTCACTACTATCCTTAAAGCAACAGAGCCATCTGATCATGTACTGAAATCTCCAAAACCATGAGTCAAAATAAACCTTTCCTCTTTCAACTAATTTTTCTCAGGCATTTGGTCACAGTGATGAGTATGACTAACACACTAACATATTGTCTTTGGCCGGTCTCATGCTCTAATGGCAAAGTTTAGAAGCTGCAACAGAGACTGCATGAATCTTCTGCAAAACCTAAAAAATTTATTGTCTATCTGTAAAATTTGCTAACCTCTGTTCAAAGATACATGGTCCTTTCTGAGGCATTTCAAAATAGCATGAACAAACAAAAAGAACAAACTCATTTTTTTTTCTGAGTGCTTTCTATACTCCCCAACTTCTTTTAGCCAAGAAGCAAGAGGATATATTCTTCCTTATTGTACTCTGTGCTCTTAGATAAGTTATGTGAACTGTATGAACCCAGTGTCTTCATCTTTAAAACAGAATAATAATAATAGAAATATAGTAAAAAAAATCTGCTTCATTGTGTTGTCATGGAGATTGAATAAAGTAATATGTGCTGTTATGTGTTGATGTTTTATTAGATGTTGACTAATGCCCACTATCTCAGAATGTGATCTTTGGCAACAGGATCATTGCAGATGCCATTAGCTACACTGAGGCTGTACTAGAATGTATCAGCCCTTCTTCCAATATTACTGGTATCCTAATAAGAATATGGTGGGGTGAAAACTCAAGATGCACAAGGACAGTACTATGTGACAATGGTAACAGAGATCAAGTGATGCTACCACAAGCCAAGAGTTAGAAAGGGGCAAGCAGCAAGCCCCCTCACAGGTTTCTAAGGAAGTGTGCCCCTATCAACACCTTCATTTTGGACTTTAGTCTCCAAACCTGTAAGAGAATAAATTTCTGTGTGTTAAGTCACCCAGTTTGTAGTACTGTGTCATAATAGTTTTAGGAAACTAAAGTGCATGTGACCCTCTTTGAACAGTGCCTGGATGGTATAACTCTGTAACTAATGTTAAAAACTATTCTGTCATTTCTGTTTATCTTTATAATAATTTTATAAGGTAGGTATGTTAGTCTTCCCTGACTGCCGTAACAAAATATCATCAACTGGGCAGCTTCAAGAGTAGAACTTGTTTCTCCAGTTCTGGAAACTGGAAGTCCAAGATCACAGGGACAGCAAGGTCAGGTTCCAGTGAGGACCGTCTTCCCAGAATGCAGGAGCCTGCTTCTGACCAAGTCTTCACATGGCAGGAAGGCAGAGGCGGGGAGCATGAGCCTGCAAGGTCTCTCTTCTTATAAAAGCACTAATCTCATCATGAGAGCTCCATCCTAAAGAGCCCATCTAACCCGAATAACTTTCCAAAGGCCCCACTTCCCAAAACAATCACCTTGGGGATTAGGGCTTTTATATATGAATTTTGTAGGGGATGCAATTCAGTTCATAACAGTTGGTATCATTATTCCTATTTTATAGGTAAAATTACAGAGTGTCCATGAGATTAATACACAAGAAAAAAAGTATAAAGGAGTATGGCATTAGAAGAAGAATCCTGTGGACATAAGAATTCCTCGTGGGTATTTTCATAGACAGCAGTGCTTGTTCCTTGGTGATAGTGATATTAGAGGTTCTAGAATCAGGGAGACCAAGTTCAACTCCACACTCTACCATTCACTGTCACTGGGACCTTGAGCAGATTACTTAACTACTCGGAGTCTCAATATCCTCACCTGAAATAGGGGTGACTCCTAATCTCATGGAACATTAAATAACAAAATGTTTGTAAAGAGGTACTTAGAGTACCGGGCACAAAGGAGACATCAAATAAAAGTTAAAACTTCAAAGATAAATATACAAAGATGTTCAGTGTAACCATAACTGTTAGAACAGGTTTAAACATCTTCAATATCCAAGAGGTAGAAAGAGAAGATAGGAGGGGAGGGGAGGGGAGGGGAGGGGGGATAGTAGAGGATAGGAAAGGCAGCAGAACACAACAGACACTAGTATGGCAGTATGTAAAAAAGTGGATGTGTAACCGATGTGATTCTGCAATCTGTATACGGGGTAAAAATGGGAGTTCATAACTCACTTGAATCAAATGTATGAAATATGATATGTCAAGAACTATGTAATGTTTTGAACAACTAATAATAAAAATTTTAAAAAAAGAATAAGTTGGATAAACTATGATACATCCATTTCAAGAAATGCTATGCAAGCATAAAACAGAGTGTATTGGTCAACTATGTACTACCATCCCAAATGCCTTTACAAATGCAATTTAGAGAGGAAAGGTTTACTGTGGCTTGAGGTTTCAGAGGTTCCAGTCTGCGGTCCAGTTGGCCCTGTCACTTTTGTTCCTGTGCCGAGGCACATCGTCATGTTGGAAGCACATGGTGGGCAGGACCTACCACCTGACGGTGTTGAGGAAGCAAAGAGAGAAGCAGGAAGAGATCCAATAACTCCTGCACAGTGCTGTCATGAAGATTAACTAATATGTGGTCCATAAGGAGGCTTAAAATATTCCCAGACATATAGAAACATGATAAACAGCCATTATTATAATTCTGTTGATCTGAAAGGAAGGGAGGTGAAATGGCTAATTTCCAGCTATTAATTTGTACCTCTGTCGACTGAGGATGGGAGGAAAGGGGGAGAAGGTTTCTATGTTCACTTTACTTCTTCTGAACTATTGGAAACAAACCAATTCCTTTTTCTTCATATGATGACTGAGCATTTCTTTTTTTGGGGGTACTGGGAATTGAACCCAGAGGCACTCAACCACTGAGCCATATCACCAGCCCTTTTTGTATTTTATTTAGAGACAGGGTCTCACTGAGTTGCTTAGGGCCTCTCCAAGTTGCTGAGGCTGGCTTTGAAATTGCAATCCTCCTGCCTCAGGCTTCTGAGCCTCTGGGATTACAGGCATCTGCCACCGCCCCCAACCTGGCTGAGCACTTTCTTCTATTGATGGGCAGGGTTGCTTTTCAGCCAGACATGTGGGTATAGCTACTAAATGATTCCCGGTAAATGACAGAATCCTTGCCCCACAATTCAGCAATGTAAGGGTTAACTCCTGGAGTGCCAGGAGCCTCTGAGATGCTGAATCATAGTGACTGGTTTGTTCTCTCTCCAATTCCAAGTCAGAAAATGTGTTAGCTCTCAACTCTTGGTGCCTGGCATTGAGCTCAGAACTGGGCACCTCTTGTATCTGACTAAATTTCTCCTCAAGATAATTATTCTCATTTTCCCAGCGACCAAGTAGAGGTGACTTATCACGTGACTTGTCTAATAATGCGCAGCTGGTGAGAGGAGCCCTCCTGGCTCCGGAGTCATGTTCCTTTCCTTTGGCTCACATTCCATCTCTTAGAATATCTGTATGTTCTGCTTCAAAAAGTTATTTTCCAAAAGTTTGTTCTGTTAGCTTTGTACTTCTAACTTGTCTCAGCTGTTTAAACTCTGTGAATAATTAACCAGTTAAGTTTGATCTCTGGCCTAAAGTTGACCAGTAAGCTTGACTATTTTCCCGGAACAAAAAGACAAGGAACATTTCTCTGTCTAGGTACTTTTCAAAGCCTAGATAGGCAAGGAAGCCAAAACCATCCTTCCAAACTCCCTCTCTTCCTCCTCTAGCCAGTGACATCTTCAACCCAAGGTCACCAGGTTTGGAAATAAGTCCTTTGAATCCAAGGAGACTGGACGTGGTTTTGGAAGTTAAACAGTCTCAGGATTAAGTCATTATTAGCTGTGTGACCTTGAACACAGTTACCCAATTCCCTCCCTCAGCTTCTTCCACATTTGTAAACAAAGGAATTAGTGTTTATACTCACTAAGTTAATATTCAGCCTTGATATGAACATTTTCCTGCAGGTATCAACCTATCAAAATGCTATACACAGCGGCAGCAGGGGCCTGGAGGCTGAGATCCACAGGCGTGTGCTGGTTTGTCAAGATTGTGAGAATATCCACAGGGACCACATGGGAGAGGCCGGATGACCTGTAAGATTGGGGTGCTCTGCGGATGAAGGGTAGACTTTACCGGAGCAGCCATTGCTAGATGGCGTTGGACTAGCAAGTACAACACTACAAATGTAACAGGCTCAGTAGGGGCTTTGCAAGTGGGTTTGCACTTCTAGGGGGATGTGCTCTGTGTCTGGTTCTGTCGCTCTGTTGGTCTATTTGGGCTATGCTAGGGCTTCCATGTTGTCTGTCCCTCAAGGTTTATGGGATGGCAGCTTGGCCCCACAGTGGGTGGTGGTACTAGGAAGTCCTGCAGAACTTTTGGGAGCTGGTGCCTAATGGGAAGTCCTTAGTCCACTGCTGTGGGACCCCACTTATTCTCTGGCTTCCTGTTTCTAGCGATGCTCTCTTCCTCAGTCACCTGTGCTCCACCGTGGTGTGAAGGAGCCAAGAGGACTCTCACTGGAGCTGAGCTAACGCCAGTGCCTTCCCCTTGAACCTGCCAGATTGTGAGCAAATAAACCTCTTTTCTTTACAATCTCATCCTGTCTCAGTATGTCATTGTTGTGGTGAAAAATGGGCCATTGTAGTAATGAAATATTGCTATAATGAGTTACACACACTAGGTGGCTTCTTAAAAAAAGAAAGAAAAGCAACAAGAACACACACAGTAAGGCACAGTGGTAAATACCTATAATCCAAACTACTCAGAAGGCTAAAGTGAAAAGCTCATGAGATTGAGGTAGTGAGACCCTGTGAGAAAATAAAATAAAATATAATATATAGGGCTGGAGTTAGGGTCAGTGAGTGGTATATGCCTATAACCTCAGCAATTCTGGAGGCTGAGGCAGGAATATTGCAATTTGAAGCTAGCCTCAGCATCTCTCTCTCTCTCTCACACACACACGCACATTTCTTTTTCACAGTTCCTAAGGCAGAAATCCAAGATCAAAGTGCTGGCATGGCTGGGTTCTGGTGAAGGCCCTCTTCTGGACTGCAGACTGCCGACATTTAGTTGTACCCTCACATGGAGCAAAGGGGGGCAAGAGAACCCTATGGGGTTCTTTTTGCCAAATCACTAATCCCATTCAGGAGGAACCTGGCCTCATGACCTAACCACTTCCCAAACATGCCATCCCTTAACACCATCTCATTGGTGGGCACAATGTCGTTACAGGAATTTGGAAGGAAGAGAAGCATGCTGTCTACTGCAATCACTACACTGTCTCACATGATGTCATGGAACTTCATAAACACTCCGGAGCTGTTATTGCATTTTTCAAATGAAGTAACTATGTCTCCAAAAGTTACAACAGCTAATAAGAGATAGAACAGTGATCCTAATCCAACCCAAGTCAGGGACAACTAGACATTTTAGTCACAATGTGAGAAGGAAATTCTGAAAAAAAAAAAAAAAAAAAAAACACTTAACTTGAGAACATGGATGGTAAAGAATGAATAAGGGTGCTGACCATAAGGCAATTCAAATGAGAAATAAAAAAAGCTACTAGATGTGTAGGATCCTTGAGTAAGAATGGTGCTGAAAACATTGATCCCACTTACGCTTTACAAATGGAATGATGTTAACAAATCATGATTGGCATAAAGAATAGACAGACATTCTTTGCACTATGCTTATTCAAACAAGCTTAAAATTAAGCCCAAATAAAACATTTTAAGAAATCCACAGCCTTTTGCAAGCAGAAATTTGTGTGAGTCAGCATGCCATTACTGTAACAAGTTACCTGAGATAATCAACTTAAAAAGTATTCAATTTGGATCATGTTTTCAGAGGCTCCAGCCCATGATTTGTTGGCCCCATATCTTAGATCTGTGGTGAGATAACATATCATGGTGGCAACCATATGGTGGAGCAACCTACTCACTTCATTGAAAGCAAGGAGAAAGAGGAGAGGCCAGGATAGCAAAATTCCCTCCAAGGGCCCACTCCCCCAAAGACCTAAACTCCTTCCTCTAGGCCCCACCTCCTAAAGGTCCCAGGAACACCATTGACTAGGTATCAGATCTTCAGCACACAGGTCTTTGGGGAACATTCAAGATCTAATCTATAGAATGGTCCATGGTCTTTGTCATCCCTCAGTTGGGTAGTTAAGTCTCTTGACCCCATCAACCCATTTTTCAGAGTAACGGGAACCACTGAAAAAGATCTCAGTTGAATTCCACCTTTTTAACTTTCAACAGCAGGGCAAAACTTTAAAGAGAAGCCCTTGGAATTCCGAGATTTGGGACATAGAAAAGAGGGGTGACTGTTAGAAGTCACTGGGATATAGGGAAATACTAGGAAATGACATTGGCCAAACTATGTTGTTACACTTGTTGCCCCTACAAATGTGTAACATGAATCCCACCATTAGGTACAATTGTAATACACCAATAAAATATGGAAAAAAATAAAAGATCAAGTCTAGGAAATTGGTAAAGAAAAAAAAAAAAGGAAGTAATTGCAGTCCATGTGGAGCATCAGACCAGGAGTCAGAAAACTGGGAACCAAACCCTGGTTGGTCTGTTAACAGCTCAGTGACTTCATCCAGTGGGAATGACATCTGTACAATGGGAGTGACATCTGTAGAATGAGAATGGCAATGACAACTTCCCAGGCTCCATGGATGATTAAATGAAATAGCATTCAGAAGTTTCAAGAATTGGGTCTAGCATAAAATATATGCTCAATACACATTTGATTTTCCCTTCCTGAGCTCCAACGCATATTCAAGGAGTATAATAATAATACTGTAAGGAGAGGGCACAAAGATCAAATGTGATAACTCAAGAATCATGATTTGGAAACACATCATTTTACAAATGAATGTTATCTTTTCTGCTGGAGACAACCAAGGTGGCCCAAATGTGCTCTTCCCCTAACCACATCCTATAGTTAAATGTATCAAATGGTCTTTATTACTCTAAGGTTACTTCTGGCTTTTTAATTTTTCCAACAATCACACAACTACTGAAGTCGAATCTATACTTCTGGACAGAGTTAGTATTTTCCTAATGTGTTATTAGCCTGGGTTGAGGACACACCACATACTTGGAGAACATTTTTTTGTTGAGATCATCCATTCCCTTCATGCTTGAACCCCTAAATCTTCCCCTTCTCTGCAATATCAACCTCTTTACCCTCAAGCTGACTTCTTCCCTATAGCTTGACTTTATTAAGTCAAAAATCATCTTTGATTCTTTAATTACCTTCTCTCTGGAACCCTCCTCAGTACCATAGTTCATCTGCATGTAGAGCATGTATCTCAAATCCCTCTACTTTATTTCTCTGTGGTTATCCTATCACAAGTTATTCTTATCAATTGTAGGGCTATCTGATAAGCCCTTCATTTCCATTATTACACCTCTTACCCAAAATAAACCTTTTCTAAACATAGTAGGGAGGATGGGATTTTTAAATCACAAATTAGATCAAGTTGAACCCTTTGCACGAGACCCTTTCAATGGCTTCTCATATTTTGTTTAGAATGAAATTTCAACACTGCCAAGGAACCCAGATACCTATAGGGAATGTTCTCCGGCAACCTTCTTTCCCCAACAAATGTGTATTGAATATGTGACCAGTGCTGGAGATTTAGAAGGAAAGCAAAGCAAGTGGAAATCTGTGTTCTCTTGGAGGTATGTTGTTTCCCTATCTCTTTAACCTTGACCCTCAGAAATACATTTTACTTCCTGTCCCTGCAAACGCTGAGGTATTTGTAAAGAGGGAAGTACCTTCCTGACTTTATAAGATAAAGTAATAATAAAAGTTTTATCCACCAGACTAAGATATTTATGATTCTCTCTGATATTTTCTTACTCAATTTCATTACCAAAAAGAGAAAAATAAATAAATAAAAACACAAAAATGGTTACAACAATCTAAATTGATTTCTCAACACCATAGAGAAAACTGCAGTGTAAAAACACAGTTCTACACAGGTCTGCTGCTACTGACTTTGTGACCACAGGAAAATCACTTAACTCATAAGTTTTATCATTGTTCAACTTATGAGGAGTCCTCACAATTAGGTGAGTTAATTTATTGGGATGCATATTGGCAAAACCTAAAATGAGGAAGAATCTTAGCACATGCCTATACATTTTCAGGCCATTCTCTAATCCCCAATTCATTTGAGGTCCTTGAACACATCATCTCAAGGTACTTGGGTTTTGTCCTCCTTGGATTCCTTTCTCACAGGACATCACCTGGCTGCCTCTTCTCATTGTTTATATCTTAGCTTAAATGTCATTTTCGTGAAAACGCCTATCCCTTTTGGATGACTAATAATGAAGTGAATATATTGTAAGTCACTGTTTGAATTTTCTGTGTAACACTTACCCAATATTCTCTTGTTGGTTCATTTTCCAACCATCTCCTGGCTAGAGGAGATGACTCATACAGAAATACGATCTTTGCCCACACTTTCCACAGCTCTGACCCCAGCACTAAAAATAATGCCTGACAAAAAGTAGGTTTTCAGGAAATACTCATTGGTACACGAGTGGCCGAGAGAATACACACTTGTCAGAATGAAATAACATGCAGATGAAATCAAATGGGAAAGTTTCCCCTAAATCAAACAGGACATTGGAGTTTGAAATTCTGGATTCTAGGACCAGCCTGCGATAGGCTCAGGTGTGGTCTTCCAAATTCATGTGATGAAGTCCTAGTTCTCAGTTTCTCAGAATGTGACTATATTTGGAGATCTAAGGATGCAATTAAGGTTAAATCAGGTCATTAGGGTGGGTACTAATTCAATGCAACTGGTGTATCTATAAGAAGGGGATGTTTAGACTCAGACATGTACAGAGGGAAGGCCAGGTGAACACACGGTGAGAAGATGACCATCTGCAAGCCAAGCTGACAGGCCCCAGAAGAAACCAGCCCTGCCAGCACCTCGATCTTGGTCTTCAGCCTCCAGAACCAGGAGGGAGAATGGCTAATCACCTCTAGCTCTCAGTTTTCCATCTGTAGCTTGAAATCATGCAGTTGACTTTGCTCATGTGTGAATTGTGTAAAAGCTCAACATAAATCCAGCCATACAATAGAACATGTGTAATTTCTCCTCCCAACAAAACTTTTCTTTACTTCTAATTTAATCATAGGTAGAGATTTTCATGAGTCCATTAAAACCTTCAAAATTCCATTTTCTAATACTGGTGGTCCACACTGCCCTGTCCATCTTGATAGCCACAGGACCTGGGACAAATAGCAGGTCGGATGGAGGCAGGGCATCTGTGAACCTCAGACCATATACTCATAAGGGCAAGAATTATCACGCATGTTATTTTCATTAAGCAACTGAATTCACAGTCCAAACTCCAAGGTTTCCAAGATGAAAGAAAAATCTATATTTCTTCTCTGGCACCCTATCTGCAACCAAGGTTTTGGGGAGGTCTCTGAATCTTGGTCACTTTCAGGTCTTATATCCCTGAAACTTCCCTTCTAATGGCACATGGAGATTTTTGGCAAATCAGGACACACATACTCTAGGATCCAGTCTCTAGGACCTCATGAAGCCACTCTCTGTGACTTTGCT